TTCATTGTGTTCTATTGAGTGTCATATTTTCATTTAAATCTAATAGATTGAGATCATTTTTTAGAGATCATTTTTTTGAGATCATTTTTTATACAATATGCTCAAGTCTTTTTAGGTCTGCTTCTGCCTTTCTTTAACATAATCGGAATCATCAGATAGTTGATGTTTAATGTGACTGATTTATCTATAACAACTCTCTCTAATCTTGTTCCCCACTGGAGCTACACCAACCCTATCATGGATATATTTATTTTGTATTTTGTCTTGTAAGTGTCAGGCCACTCATCCACCTAAGCATTCTAATCTTAGCAGTACTTAACTTTATTTTATGCTTCTCCTTTAAAGGCCAACATTCTGCACCCTAGAGCATTGCAGGTTTCACCATCATCTTATAAAATTTTTCTTTCAAGTCTAAGTGGTACTTCTCTATCACACAATTGGCCCGATGTATTCATCCACTTCAACCAATCAACTTGAATTCTACTAATAACATCCCCTTCTATATATCACCATCACATTTTAATGATTTGATCACCCATAGTTACAACCCTGCCACCAGAGCTAATACTATTAAAATTACATTTCATGTATTCAGTTGTAGATCTACTCAAACGAAGGCCTTTAGGCTTCAATGTAGACCTCCATGATTTAAGTTTTTCCTGAGCTCTTTCTCTAGGCTTGCCCATAAGAAGGATATCATCAGTGAAAAGCACACACCAAGTCACATCCTCCTGTAAATGTCCAGTAAGAGCGTTCATAACTCAAGCAAACATATATGGGCTTAGGGTCGATCCCTGATGTAATCCAACTGAAATAGCAGAATACTTGGTCAGTGTCCTTCTGTTTGAACACAAGTGCTGTAGTATACATATCTTTAATGATTTGAATAAAGTCCTATCAACACATTTCTTTTCTAGAACTCTTCAAAGGACTTCTCTTGGAACTTTATAGCAAGTTTTTTTCTAAATCAATAAAAGTCATATATTGATTTTTCTTACTTTCTATATATTTCTCCAAAACCTCTCGATCAATGTATCAAGCTGATTATGAGAAATTTTTGTGTCATGTTTTAACCTATGATCAATTACCCTTTTCCATAGTTTTAATGTATGACACATCGACTTAAATGCTCTATAATTTATACACTGATGTGCATCCCCCCTATTCTTAAAGATGGGGACCAAAATACCCTTCGTCCACACATTATACATCTTCTTAGTTTTTTAATTAATATTAAAGAGTTTAGTAAGTCAAGAAAATTCAAAATCTCCTAAATATTTTCATATTTTAATTGGGATTATCATCAAGCCCAACTTATTTTATACCATTGATTTTCTTTAACGCCTCGTTAACTTTTTTTTCACTAATACAACGGTAAAAATAAAAAGTTTTATTATTATTAACGATAACAAGATCACCAAGTTCGATCATTTTTTCAGAAATTTCATTGAAAAATTTATCAAAATAGCTCATCCCACCTATGTTGAATGTTTTTTTCTAAGAAAAACACTTTATGATTTTTATTATTAAAAAGATCACAAAAAACATAATTTTTAGCGTTATAAATTGTTCTCTTAGACTTTCTACGGTTCATCTTATATTTTTCCCACTTGTGTGAGTTTTATATTTAAATAATTTTTTATAACACAACTTACAGTCTATCTTTTGTTGCACATTATTATTTCACCACAATTTTTTTTGTTTATAAAATTTTTTTTATTGTCCAAGCATCTTTTTTGCTGTTTGTTTAATTGTGTGTTACTTTGGCGCATGAATTAAGCTTATTCATGAAAAACTCAAAATTTGAAATTTAGAAGTTTATTCATAAAAATAATTTTATTTGTCTTTTAGATGCCTCTGTTTAATTTTACAACAATATTTCAGTGTTCTTTATCTTACAACTTATCTTTAAATCCTAAATTAATAATCGATGTTGAGTACTTAAATTTTCACTTAGAATGACCTTATAATCTTTACATTCTCTAGGTTTTCTTTTTCTCATAAATAATCAATGTGTTTTATTAGATTCATTCTAATAAGTAATAATATGTTCATATCTTTTCTTAAATAAAATATTAGCAATAATAAAATCATACACTAAAATAAAATTTAATATGATTATATGTTTCTCATTAATTATTCCAAAATAGTAGCTCTCATGACTAATTTTAAAATATTCTACCACTACCAACATGTTCGCTTAACTCAACTTTATTAATTTTTTTTTCTTCAAGTGGTATATTGCCCTAATTTTTTTAGGTCATTCTAGAAATTTTCTTTTGAACCTATATCTGAGCTTACTTGAAGAGCCTAAGCACCTATAACATTAAAAATCTTAGTATTAACAATAATCTTTAGGGCTATAATTGTATCTCAAATTCTATTATTTTTTATATCATTATCTGACTTTAGGGCTATAATTCTATCTCAAATTCTATTATTTTTTATATCATTATCTGTCAAAACTCTTATCTATAATTACACATACCATTTTTAGTGTGACTTCTACATGAATATTAAAGTTTAAATTTTAAGTTATCAATTTTCTTAGCATTTTCTTCAATCCATTTAGTTTCTTGAATACATAAAATATTTATCTTCCTATGAATTATAATATCTACTAATTTCATTAATTTTCCTGTGAGAGAGTTTTTATATTTTAAGATCCTTTCTTAATATTAGTTTCATGTATTAATTTCTTGGCCCACATATTATTTGAAACCACACTTGGTTGATGGTGTAGTGCTCATTGTATACTTTTCACTGTATTCAAATCATACAACACATTACTTTCAGACAATGCACTATCATTTACACACGGATTTAAAGAATTCATGCAACACTCTATCATTTACACACGGATTTAAATGATTCAGTCATGATTTTTCAACAAAATTTTTATATTTGTCATCAACTACCTAACACAATCCTTCATTTTTCGCATTTGGGGCTTGGGACCCGACGATAACAGTGTTAAAATTTGTATAATATTTTAAACTAATATTTACATTAAGAGGTGCTGAAAGATTAATTATGTAGATAACACGTGTAATATTGGTATTAATTAGTGATTTGATTATGGCATGCATAAAATGCATCAATTTGATATTCTAGAATCTAATTATATATATAATTGTACTTTTGAATTGAGAGCTAAACTTTTTTTTTTTCCCTCGAAACTCTTCATTTCGATTTTAATATTTGGGCAAAAATAAGGCTCTTTTGAGCACACATTTCCATAGAATTATTTTCTTACGATTTTCTCAATTAAACGGACATAGCAAGCATTTGAAATAAATATAAAATACATCACACAGCCCGTCCTTGAGATTTGCCATAATTATTATTTAGTCGGTTTTGTATCTAAAATGTAGATCATTTTTTTTTAATTCGTCAAATTTGGGTTAACCTAAATAACCATGACTAACTCTTAATTGACCCACTCATTATTTGAGATCAATTTAAATAGTTTTGAATTGAGCTAATTGAGTTGGATATCTCATATTTTTATTAATTAAGTTTGCTAATTAGAAAAATCACATTATTTATATAATAAATGAGTTAGATAACTTGGGTTTGGATTAGGTGAGTAAGTTGAATCAATTTAGGTTAAATTTTTTAATCTATTTAACATGTGACATAATCAAATAGGATAAACCTTAATCCAACACAATTAACAGTATTTAAAGCACGAGTCATTAAGAATTGTTTCATTACATCAACAACTTTACATCCATTAAGTTATTTATGATATTTTTATATAATTATCATTTAATTTCTTGATTGCTTCAAATAATAATATTAAACTTCTATTTCAGTAACATAAATATTACTCAAATATATTGACGTATGTCAATCAAAATAGTTGATGGTTAAGAGAAACAAAAACATAAAGTAATCAATGTAAACTTCATTGTTTCCAAATGCAATTCACTACATCTGAATGAGCTAATTTCAACTAAGACCCTAAAAAAAACTCAGTTTGCAAAAAAAACTCGTGTTTGACTAGAGAGCGAAATGCAAATAATTTTCTTGAGCTCAACTTATAAATGACCCGAACACTCTTTTTTAACTCGAGCTAATTAATTATAAAAATAAATAGGAGCTAATTTTTTAAAGAGAACATGAGTTGAATCAAAACTAAATTTTTTTGGGACTGCCTGAATTACAAAAAAAAAAGTGTAATTCAGGGGTGGATGAACAACACAATGAGCATTTTGACATATGAGGATAATATTCGAGAAATTACAAGAAGACGACGAAGTCATTCTCACCTATATTCCGGGTCACATATGAGCCAAAGGCATGA